TACCATACCCTACCCTACCCTACCCTACCCTACCCTACCCTACCCTACCCTACCCTACCCTACACTACACTACCCTACCCTACCCTACCCTACCCACTCTACCTTTTATATATATATACAAGTCTAGGTTGACACAAAAGTAATGAAACACCTGCCATTTATTTTTCAACCAAATTGTGTCCCGCTACTTTTGGTTCTACCTAATATGATACCAAATTCACTTTCTATCATATAATATAAATTTCGCAACTTGAAACCCATCAAAAACTTTAGATTCAAGTAATTTGTCATGACTTGCATCTAAAATAACACTGTAAAAAATTAATTCGATTTTAGCAAAAACAATTTCTGCAGCCAGTGTCCTTTGAATTGCGCTGAGATATTACTTCTTCTAGGACACGTACGATCAACAGTAACATAGACATAACGCTTTGGATTGGGTCCTACGGATAATTTTAGTATCATAACAAAAAAGAAGACGTTATTGTGTTCTATATTCATGTATCTTTTCATTGTATTTAAAGAATTGAATGGCAGGTAATAGGGGTTGCATTTAAGGATATTAGTTACTGTATACAGGTAATCGTATACTAACATAACGAATGTGTTTATTAATCTAGAAGCTTTAATACTGTAATTTTTTTTGCTTTTTCAGAAAGATACGGTAAAATGATCAATGATATGAGCATAAGCTAAAACATAACCAGCCTACTATAACATAACCCCCTCTTATGTCAACAACCAGTCATAGCCAAATAAAATACATACGTAAACCAAGTATCTATAACCGGTATAAGCTTGCTAGATTAGCCGTTTCCTATTGCTTTCTACAACATTTTACATGTCAATTCGAATGTCACGGTAATGTGTTTGGTATTTAAAACTCTACGTTAAGCTGGATTAACGAAAAAAGTTGTGACATTTATGTTTCAGGTGGATTAGTCAACGTATTATACAGTCTTATTTTATTGTAAACATGTTTCTATTTGTTGAAGTTATTTAACCTGCCCTGTGTTGCCTTGCCTATCCCTACCCTTCTATACTCTACCCTTAATATGCCCTGGTTTTACCGTAATCTTGCTCTAGCTATACTTACCCTACCATACTTTATTCTACTCTTTCGTATTCCACCCTACTTTAACATAATTACCCTACCCTATTCTGGTGTACCTTACTTTTTCTCCCAGTCTTATCTTGTATACTATTCTACCCTATAAAAGGCCCTTTTCATCGTAAACCTTTTCCTCAGCAACCTACAAAAAGAGCAAAAACCAGAAAACCCAAATATGTTTTCATATGTTATATATGTACAGTATACATGTAGATATCTTTCTCAAACATTAAGAAATCACATAAACCACATATAATTATATATGGTTTCAAATTTCAATCGTACACTACTTCATCATCAACAAGAATTCATATGAATCTACAACAACAAGCAGATATTACTCTTAGTCATATATACAAGATTAACATTTCCAAAAAAACTATTTATATGTCATATTTAATATCGTACCTAATCCTAACTTTTTCAAAGGTATGTGTAAAGAAAGTGTTATGTTTTAAAAATGATTACAATCTTGCGATTAAAACTGCCAGTAAACATACTATGAGTTTGTATCTTTGAAGTCATGAATGATAGTATTATACTACAGTATTTAAAATAATTTATTATAATACTATTTATCACATAGGCTTTAATAAATATTAGTTTGTTCAAATAATTCTGAGCCCCCTCTCAAAGCAAATTTTCGAGCTTAGGAACACAGAATTATTTGAACAATACAATATTATAATAGCATAAATCTAAGTTTAAACATAATATTATATTACATCTGATGTTATAAACATATTACTATAGTATCTACAATGTTATGTTACTTTAAAGGCTAACATCAGATTAGGCAGTGTTACCATTGGCTAATACTCATACAACTACCTAACTTAAAACAGGGTCCGCGAGAGAATCAAACATTGGTCAGACAGGGGCGAGCCAGTAAAAAAAAAGTTTTTTTTTAAAAAATCTAATTTTGCTACCACAGGTAGCCCTAAGGTAGAGTATTGCAAAAAACGAAAAAAAAATTTTTTTATTTTGGGTTACTGTAGGTGTACTGTAACTTTTAAAAATTTTTGGTAACTTTTGAACTAGTTGACAGAATTTCTCCGGACTTTTTTTAAATGGTAGAGCACATAAAAAGCAAGAAATATTGATGTTGACAAATTTTTTCAAAAAATGCCCGGAAGGCATAGAAAAAAATTAAAAACTTCAAAATTTCATTAAAAATTTTAAAAAGTTGCATTTTTCTCGAAAAAAAGTCGTTGTGTGACCGACTTTTGAAACCAGATAACGATAGCAGACGTGTTTGCCGTTCGAACGGTACTAATTTCAAAGTATAAAAATGGGGCAAATATAGGGATTTAGGCGCCTAAATATGGTATACTGTAGTCCGCTTAAACTTGATGTCAATATAACTTCTCGGAAAATACTCAGATTTTAATAAAAACTTCTGATAGTAATCTTTAGTCATGTTAGAAGTCGTAAAAAACTATTTGAACGTATTTTACATTAATTTTTTTGCTTATTGTTGGCGTACTGTAACTTTTACCTGTTTCTGTGTAACTTTTGAACTACTTGACAGAATTTTGTCAAACTTTTTCTAAATTGTAGAGCACGTTAGAGTACGCAAATATGTTGTTGATAATGTTTTTATAAAATGCCCGGAAGGCTCAAAAAATTTAATTTTAAAAAAATAAATTTTAAAAAACCCAAAATAAAAAATTTTTTTTTCGTTTTTGCCATACTCTACCTTAGGGCTACCTGTGGTAGCAAAATTAGATTTAAAAAAAAAACTTTTTTTTTACTGGCTCGCCCATGTTTGATTCTCTCGCGGACTTTGTTTTAAATGTAGATTCTACACATATCGTCACAGTAATGGAAAAAAGCAGTAAAAACAAGATGATAAGAAAAAAAAAATAAATTAATAAAGTAAAAGCTTGTACCAACTATTTACAGAGTCGGAATATGTTCATAAAATTTAAAAAGAGTATCCAAAGTACCATAATATAACAAGTGCACCAAAAGTACCAAATTCTCTTAAAACATTTAGGACCAGTACTACTAAGGCTTCAAAACACTACAAAAAAGTAAAATTTGATACCTATAGTTCCAAAATACAAATGCTGGTACCATAATTCAATAAAACCTTGTCGAAATGTATAGTAAGACTTCCTGTGACATGAAAGAACGAAGATAATAAAGAAGGCATTAGCATTCATTAAGCCAAACAAATATATAATAGAATTAAGCCCCGACTCCCATCAGAATATGTAACAATTCGGTCGACGCGTTCAAATATTACTCTGGTTAATTCAAAAAACAATTAACTGTTTAACGCCCTAGACCAAAGCCCTAGCCTAGAGCCCTAGCCCACGCCTACTGGCTCTATCTCTAGTACTAGCTCTTGTACTACTTACTAAATCTATGACTAGCCCTTGTGCTAGATCTAGCTCTGGTACTAGCCTAGCTGTAGTACTTGCTCTAGCTCTAGTACTAGCTCTAGCTCTGATACTATCGCTAGATCTAGTACGAGATCTAGTACTAGTTCAAACTCTAATACTAGCTTTCATACTAGCTCTGGATCTAGTTTTAGCTTTAACTTCAGTCTACATTACCTTCGCCTTTCTTTTTCCTTCTTTTAGCCCTAGCCTATCTAACCTTTCACGTTCTCTAACTCTATCTTTCTTTATAAACTCTCTAAATGTACGTAGCTTTTTCTCTTGAGTTTCTTATCTTTGTCATAATATTTTCTTACTTGAATATAAGCATAAACTACAGTAAATTGATCTCTTAAGTTTTCAGAGAAAAAACCAAAAATGTAATATCAAAAACCAAGACAAAAAAATAATAAAGTTAAAGCACAACAACAATCCCTTCTCCTTCAAAATATTGTACTTTTGTCACTCGACATAGATATTGCTTTAGAGGGGGACCATTTAGTTCCTTGCCCGGAAGGCATCACGCCTCTCAATGTACTATAGAAAAGCATTTTCAATTATAAACGAACTTTCCGGAATAACAAATTACTCCACGTAAACAAAATGTATAATATTGTTGTTGAACAATGTAATTGAAGGCCTGTTTTTATGCGATAAACAGGCTTTAGTTTATATGTTAGGGCTTAAGAGCTTAATTTTTTTAATTATCAAAAAAATTTGGACTTAAGGGCATTTTTTAAATTTTTGAATTTCAATTTTTTAAATTATTAGAATTTTTGTACTTTTATAGCTCACAAATTTCAAAAAATTACTTGTAAAAAGCGTTTAAAAAAGTTTTTTCGTTTCTCACCGTGCAAATACACGTAAGTTGACGACAAGACTTTATTTGCCACTTTAAAAACAAAATGATGAGTCTAAAAATTCAAAATAGATGTAACACAGAATTTGAAACTCTATGCACCATAATATATTTGAAAAATAACTTACAGACCATTATATCGTCATAATATAGTAGAAAGAACGATAAAATTATGCCATACGTTCCCGATAATGCAATTCCACAAAAACTTGCATTCTTTTGATGTAACATTCTTTACTTTTTCCAGCGAATATGATAACTCGATTGGAAACACGGTAGAACGAACAGCAGATCCTTTTACGGACATCTATAATAATATAGTGTTATAATCACAAGATGTAGAAAAGTAAATCAAAATAACTAAAAAATTAAACTAAAAAACGCGTAAAGTATAGATTTTCCAGCTTTCAGTACAATAAAAGAGTTGAAGGTCGAAAACAAAAAAACTATTAAAATCATATGTAAAAAAAAAGGGATCCGGCAGTCTGCACAGAACGTCGGCCGCAGTGCGCAAGACTAAAACGATCATTTCAATTAATTTTTTTTCGTAACCAGATAAAAAATAGATAGAAGAAGATACCAAGACGTAGTAATAGTACAATACGGTCGTAAGACGAAGATAATATTCTTAGAAACGTGTTCAATGTTTGAAAATGGCCAAATGTAAGTTATTTTTGATATTTTTTGTGATTTTAGGGTTTGAAACCAAATAATTAGAAGCAGGTCGTGGGATTGATGGGGATATATTGCTAATAGGTGTTGATATATCATTAATAGATCGAGATGTATAATAAAATATGATTTTCTTTCTAAACAGCTTTTTTTCGCTTTGGTGAAGGATTGGTGAACTAAAACAAGAATACTGATGTCATATTTTATATTTTTAATTTGTAAAGCATTTGAATAGTGTAAAATAAGGTAATGAATGTTTTATATAAGAACAAGTCGAACGTGACTTCGTGAACGGTCAATGCTGGGTTTCGAAGATGTTCACCATGGTCTAATACCTGAAAACGAAAGAAGAGCTATTGTATGGATAAATATTGCTTATATTATTAAATATGAAATTATAATTGGAGGAATATTAAAATTTTGTTAGTAAGTTGCTTTTTGTTTGTCTTTTTTGATTTTAAACATATTTTTCGCTATTTTTTAAATCTTGCACATTAGAAGCATGGAGAATATAAGTTGTCTAAATTTATTTTAATTATTGGAAAATTTTTTAGAGAAATACGTTTTGATTGAACTTTTGATGGTTCACAGAGAAGAGTTATGGTATTAAAAAGCGAGATATTTGTGACTTGAGTTATATTATCTATGAGTTTTTATCTGTTTGAAAAGTTTATATATTATATTTTATAATATTTTTCGCTTTTTAGTGTAAAATCATTTTATGTTATGTGAGTAAAATATATTTTTTGAATTTTTATTTTTAAAAAATATTTTTTTTGTGTTAAACTTTATGAAAACTCCATTTTCAATACTTTTAAATGTCCAAAATCACTTCATTTTGTTAATAACTTTTCTAGAATGCGGTGGAATTGGTTTTGCGTCTTCTTCTTATCGAGTCTACTGGTCGTATCTTGCAGGAACGTGGACGTGTTCGTTGGAAAGTCAGTCTATTTACCCTGCAATTCGACGGAAAACACGTTTTGGCGAGTGAATGCGGCTAAACACGAGCTGAACGGTACGATAATCGGTGGTGACAATGTCAATATTCAAAACCGAGTCAAACTGGTCAATGGTCATTTGTTGTTGAGGATGGTACAGCTGGATTACCATGGGATATATGAGTGTGTGGAGAGAGTGAATGGGAGTGAGGTGGTGGTTAGCGAATATTATGTCAGTAAGTTGTTGTTGAATTTTTATGGTATGGTTTGATTTGCATTTTCAAGAAGTTTTTTGATTCAATTTTTAATAATTTTGCCACTTCCAGATCCAGTTGTATGTGGAACCAAGAACATTACATCGTTTTGCAAAGACGGAGCTCCATGTATAACAACAACAAGCAGAAAGACCAAATTTATGTATTCATATTGTCCATGTCATAGTCAAGAACAACCGTTAAAGAAGATTGCTGGATATGATGTCAACTTCAAGTTTAATCTCTTTGAATTCATACATCACCCGGATAATTTGAAGTACTTGCCGTTAATTAGCAGCTTGTTCTTGTTACCTATCACGTCTATCATGTTCAGCTGTTGCACTACTTTTATGTAAGTTTTGTGGCATTTTTCATTAGAAATGAGGATTTTATGACATTTTTTAATAAAAATGAGGATTTTGTGACATTTTTTATTAGAAAGTAATCTTTTTTGATCTAAACTTTTCAGTGACTGCTGCGTCTGCGACGTGACAAAAGAAGAGGACGAGAAGATACCACTACAACATCATAATCATATTCATCCAGTAATATCTCGTGATATGGTAGATCTTTTCCCAGCTGCGTACCGTCATAACTTGGATACGACGAAGCTCGAGGAACCAGACGATGTGAAGGAATTCATAGAAAGGGTTGCCAAGCTAATCACAAACAATGCGAATGGGGAGGCGTCAAGCTCTAAAACAGACCAAGGAACATCGAGTAGAGCATTGGGACCTAGCTCTGAAAATCCAGCTCCACAGTCAAATGCATAGAGTTTGTTGAAGTAAAGGTTTAGATAGGATAATTTTGTAGGGTTTTGATATCTAAGGTTGAACCAGAAGTAGCGGGACAGAGAGAGAATTTTTTTGATTACTCTGCTCTACCCTACACTACTCCCAACTCTACCTCTTAACCTACCCTATCTTTTGCGCTATTTTACTTCAAAATGAGACTTTCCAAGATGATTAACCCATCTGTGACACGTTATTTTTAGCCTTAAATTTGGCGATTAACTGATCTATGCGATGTTTTTCTTTTCGAAAGATGAATCGTTTTTTGGCCTAAAAAACACAAAAATGTTGGTTATTCCCTTAAAGATCTGACTCATCATTCGCTTTGCTATGTTTTCCACAATTTCAGTCTAAAATCTGACTGGTCAGGGTAAAATGGAAATTGTGTCAATTTTTAAAAAATTTTGTTTTAAAATGAGGATTTTTTAAGATTTTTAGGTTTGAATGAAAATATATTTTTCAATTTGTGATCAAAAATGGTTTTATTATTTTTTAAAAATTTTGGAACGTATCTTCACTTTTTCATAATCTTTCACTTTTTCATTTTTAATAATTATTTATTGAATATTAATAATATTACACTACTAACAATAATATGTACATCCATTTACATAAGAACCTTGAGCTTGGGGAATATAGACTTGAGGCTGTTGGTACACCGGCCGGGGCCATTGTGGTGGCGGTTGGTACTGCTGAGGTACTGGCTGGTAGGACTGGGTTGCTTGGTGAAGGTGCTGACTGGGCTGATGGTACTGGTTTTGTATTTGGTACTGGTCAGGAGCTTGGTATTGTTGTGTGGCTTGGTACTGCTGAGGGGCCTGGTACTGATTTTGTGGTGTTGGCTGGTACTGGCTTTCTTGTCTTAACTGGTACTGATGTTGGTTTGTCATTTGGTACTCATCCTGATGTGTCATTTGGTACTTGCCCTTCTGTGCCATATGGTTCATGTAGCGCTGGCAATATAGTACTGGACAGCCTTTCTGCTGTCTAAGAGGCTGGTGATGCCGCTGACACAGCTCATGATACTCTGGTTCTTCTCTAAATCGTTCTGCCACTTTCTTCCGAACCTCAATCTCAATAATAGGATCAGCCCACACTGGGTCCTTCAAGATGCTCATTGATGGAGCTGAGTTGATCTTGGCTTCAGTTTCGATCATAACTTTGTCAAATGGATTACAGAAAACCATTTTTGATCAAAGTTATTGTAAGGCGAGAGCGTTGAAAGTAAGTCACTGTTCAGAAACAACAAATTATGTTGTATGGTAAACTATATGATACTAGGCTCCTTTTATAGTCTTTTTTTGGTCGATAAGATAAGTAAATGTCTGCGGATTTTGGGGCCTTTGATTAGTGCCGATTTGTGGACTTTTTATCGAAGGTTTTGTGCAGATTTATCGCTTATTGCCGGAGGGTGTTTGATAACACCTCTGGTTATGAAAAGCCGGCTTGAGGCAAGATGGCGCAGCTTTTATTGAGTTAGATAATAAGTTTATTGATTGTGAGATAAAAGTTTGAATATTCTTTGCAATATTAGTGTAGGTTTAATGTTGATTATATTTTTTTAAAGAAATAGCATTGAAAAAAGCATTTTTAAATAATTTTTTAGTTTTTTTGAGTTTTAAAATCAAGATTTTGAAATTATAAATCAGTTTATTAACCTTATTCTATCAAAGTAAAATACAATTTATGATTACATCAAAAACTATTGTATTCACTGGTATTGATGTAGGTTCTCATCCAAGAATTGAAACTTTTTTGCCAACTAAAGTTCAGCCAGATCAAATTTCGATTTGAATGGACGTTGAGCTCGCTTCTAGAGATTGGATTGCAAAATTAACGTAGGTTCATTTAGCAAAGTGTGGTGGTGTTAAGTGGGTTTGTCGCGTTTTTTTTGGTTGCAACTTTTTAGAAAAATGCTTTCAAGCTTTTCAGCTACATTTTTAGTTAAGCATTCTAGTTACAGGTTTGCATTAATGTCTTTTAAGGTTACATGAACAGTAATTAACAATACTTTTTTGTCATAAAGAGTTCGTTCATGCTTTGTGAATAGTTGGTTTTTGTAAAATACGAGCATTTTCTAGGTGGAAATATATCTACTTGTTGAGGGTTATCTTTTATATATTATCAAATGGTTATTTTATCTTATTGAGTAGGATAGGATAGCATGAGATAGAACATTTCCAATATATAAAAATTTGGATTTTTGTATGGGGTGTACATAGTAACATTATTTTGTAACATTTGTTGGCAAGATTTTTACAATACTGTAAGAAATGGCATTAATGTAGATAGGTTTTTCTTATTGTAATTTCTTGTTATAGGAAACGTCGGCATTGTATAATGGGAAAGGAAAGTAGTATGAGGTGGAATTGGAGAGGGTAGGTTAGGGTAAAGTTTGCTAGCGTAAGGTAAGTGAGGTAGGGCAGGGCAGGGTAGTTTAGGATAGGGTAGGGTAGGGTAGGGTATTGTAGGGCACAATACGGTACGGTAGGGTTTTTCTTTACTCTTTTTGCAACAATATTTACCTACTCCAATCATTTCCTCTACTCTTATTCACCCACTGACCCCCTAATCTGTTTGTTATGACAGTTCATAGTCAGTAGCCTTCACAACAAATATTTTGTCTTTTTCAAACCGTGAATCCCCGAATCCTTTGATCTGAGTTCTCAAAATATAAACTGCTTATTTCTGTGGGTCATTCAACCATGAATAAGCGTTCGTATTTACAGGGCTTAAAACTTTTTTCGTTTGTCTGATGGGGTTTCGCGCCGACTTTGCGGCACCAAAGGAATTGGGAGGAACACGGTAAGCAAGAGTTATGAGAAGATGATGGGGAGGGGGTTTTTGGTTTTGTAGACAGAGTTAAAGTTGTAGGGAAGGGCTGTAAAATACATTTTTTTAGTTTGGAAAGGGTGAGAAGAAGGGGGGGAAGAATTTGGAAAATAGGAATGGCCAAAAATGGTATGTTGACAAAAGTTTTGTCTAAGCTTACAAAACCAAGATTAGACCTGGTAAGCTGAATTTTATTAAAGGTACTGGTATCTGTTAGTTTTAACTTTTTTAGGCTTAGGACTACTAGTTTACGTCTTGTATTTTTAGTCTGACTAATTTTGGGCTTTCTAAGACAAAGCCGATTAACTTTAAACTTACTCATCTTAAGCCAAATAAGTCGAAGCTAACTGGTTCTAAGCATGTTGGTCTCAATACAGCAAAGTCTGAGCTTTAAAACAAAAGCCTACTAAGCTTAAGATTACAAAAACCTAATATAACTAAGCTTAAGCCTAATCAATATATATATCTCGAACTTTAAGTCTATTAGGCCTACTATTAATAACTTTAAGTTTACTAAAAATACGTTGAGTATTATATGTACACGCCTACTAACCCTAAGTCTACTACGTATCAGCCTAGTTAACTAGAACCATGTAAGCATAATTTTACTTATTTTAAATACATAATCTCAAATCTTTTAAAATTAAGGCTAATAAGCAAAAGCCACATAAGTTGAAACTTACTAAAATTGAAAATATTACGATTAACCTTAATAACAAGATATAGTTAACTGCTTTACAAGATATTGACAATTTTTTATTAGTTTTGTAGCCACTGTTGAACCATTCGTATTTTACAAAACGTTTTAGGTATCGCTATTCAAATCCCCAGCAAACGTGTTATTGATCATATTTCAACAAAAATGTTTGGTCAGCCATCTTCTTCTTCTCCTTTTGTCTCTTCGCTTAAGCAGTGTTTATACAGGCCGCGTCTAGTTTACAGTGAAAGAGAGGGGGAAGTGGCCACAGCGGAAAGGTCAAAAGATATTTGCATTTACAAATATTTTTATGAGTTTTGTTGGAACGATCGCTAAAACGTTCCACGATGAGTCTGGGATGAGGAGTGTGTTTCGAAGGGTTTATTATGCTTTTATTGAGTTTGGGGTGGGTTTTTTGGGTTGTAAAAGTTACAATGGGGTGGCGAGGGTTTAGTGGTCAATTTTGTATTGGAATTTGAGAGAGATCGGGCAGGAGAAAAAGGGGAAGAGGCAAAATTTGAAATGATGGTAGAAGACTACTAAAAATTTTTTAGAGGCAGGAGCTTGAAGCAAAAAACTGTTTTAGACAGCTTTTTTAGGGCTAGGGTAATTTTTTATGCAAAGGGGTCAAAACAGAACATTATTAGGATATAGGTAAGGGTTAGTAATTTTTTTAAGAAGGGGGTGAATTATATAATGCTTAAAGTTAAAGAAGAAAACAAAGTCGTATCAGCTCGTTCTATGGGATTACCTATCGGATTATGTTTTATTAGGTTAAGTTAGTTCTGTGCTCCCTTTTAATGCAAATTCTTAGAGTTAGAGAACACAGAATTATTTGAACAACCTAATATGATAATTTGATATGTAATAACTAATGTTCTTTGACCAAAAACAATATTTTTCAATAACTATTTATTTTTCCTTATCCGTTCACATAGAAAACTTGAGCTTTGGGTTTATAAAGCTGAGGCTGTTAGTAGATCGGGTGTTGCTATTGTAGTGGCGGTTGGTAGTGATGGGGTATTGGCTAGTAATATTGGGCTGTTTGTCTGTCGTTCTCTCTAGGTTGTTGGTACTATTGATGGTACTGCTTTTGGATACTGTTAAGAGATTTAGTACTGGTCTTACTGTGTCAGTTGGTACTAGCTTTCTTATTTCGGCTGGTACTTAGTTTCGTGTTTTGGTTAGTACTGGTTTTGCTTGCTATTTGGTTTGTCTTGCTGTGCCATTTGGTTTATGTAGTGTTGGCAGTATAGTACGGGTTGGCCTTTGTGGTGGCAAAGAACTTGATGATGGTGCTGACATTGCTGTTGTTACACCAGATACTGCCATTGCGTTAGCGGTTACTAGTACCGAAGTAAAAAAAAGTAGGTACATTACCTATACTTTATGCTCAAACCATGTTAAAGTGAAACAAATAGTGACCAATGCTTTCAAAAATAACGGGTTGCCAAAAACAAGTAGGTTATTTATGGCATTACCAGTCGCTTTACCGCGATTTATGCTCACACAACCCTCGGCTGTGTAATAAATCTGTCAAGAAAGGAGTTCGTCCTTGTTTCGGCACTCTTAAGAGGCGACAAATTAATTGCGGCCTTCTTTAATTCATCATTAAATCGGGTTGGTCATGTTCGCACTCTCGCAAAGTGCTTTTGGGGGTAGCCGGATATAAACATATCTGATTGAGGCATTATTAGGTTGGTAATATAGAGGAGAAAAGGAGGGAGATAGAAGAGTAGGGTAAGGTTTAAAAGCTAAGAAAGATAAAAACTCAAGCTGGGGTAGGGCAGTGGCAACTTTTAAAGAACAAGGTATGGTTTGAATAAGACTACTGTAAAGCTAGACTAGAGCTTGAGGTAAGGCGGCTTATTCGGCTAAACCTATATAGCTAGGACTATCTGGCAAGGGCTAGGACTTTTGTCTATAAGCAGTGCTAGGACTCTGTGCTACTGCTCTGTGCTAGATTTCAGTTTCGAGTTTAGGATAAGGCTAGGGGCTTCGAGCTATGGCTATGGGCTAGGGCCTTGGGCTAGGGTTCTGTGCTAGGGCTCTGGGCTAGAACTCTGGACTAGGGCTGTGGGCTAGGGATCTGGGCTGGGGATTTGGTTTAGGGCTCTGGGCTAGGGTTCTGGGCTAGGGTTTTCTGGGCTTGAGTTCTCTGGGCTACAGCTTTCGACTAGGGCTTTTTGTTTTTAATATTTTGTCTTATGAGCTTTCTGAAATGAAGACCACTTAAACATCACTTTAGCACATCTGTCATTAATATATGTTTCTAATGACGTCAGATGAAAAAACCATGTTTCAAAGGCAGGAACTGATCAAGAACATCAGTTTCTAACTTCAATTTTTTAAATTTAAAATTTTTAAAAATTTGAATTAAAATTTTAAAAGCTCCATAGTAAAATACGGATTAGTAAATATAAATTTACTTGCTATCATAATGTTTTAACTTTTTTTTCAAAAACGTTTAACACTAAAAGTCGACTCAGCAGTGTCAATCAAATTCTAACCGCCTTAAGGCTTATTTCTGAGTTTTGCAGTTTGTTTACTCTTTGTTTATAACATTGTTATTCTACTCGGTTTAAGCGGATGTGTAAACACTGTAAATGTAAATAATTTTTTTTCTGTTGTTACTGAATGTAAATCTGACATATTATAAGTTAGAAAAAGTCTTGTCGTGACTTTTTATAGTTATTTTAAAGTTTTGTCGTCAATTTATATCGGTTTTCAGGTTAAAAAGCGACAAGACGTTTGAGACACCACTATATTTTTAAATTTTTTATGATTTTCAGCCATTTTTAAATGTTTTCAACTTTTTATGTTTTTTATAATATTTTTGAGCGTGAATCAGACGTGATAACGTGCCCTTTTATTACTCTAACGTGTCTTTTTAAAAAACTTTTAAATAAAGCTGATAACGCCAGTTTAGTTTTTAAAATTTGGCCTATTTTAGGTAAAAATGAGAGAAATCGTTCATGTTCAAGCTGGCCAATGTGGCAACCAGATTGGTTCTAAGGTAGGCTGCTTTACGACAGCATGAAAGCTATGGGTTTAAAATAGCTTTAAGGCTATGGTGTTGGTCATTTTTTAATTGGGAGAAGGTTTAAAAAAAGTTTTTTCTTTGGAAAGTGACTTTTTAAATTTTTTAAAAAATTTTTTGATTTTTAAAGTTTTACCATATTTTTAACTCTTTATTTATGGTTTACTACAGTAAATATAGTACTTTTGATTACCTCTATAGCTAAAGCAAGGCAGCTTAAGCTCTTTTTTTAGGTACTATTATATTATATTAGGTTATTGAATTAATTCTGTGCCCTTCTCATTAATTTTTTTCAGGATTAGGGCTCAGAATTATTTAGACAACTTGAAAGAGACTCAGGATTATTTTAACTACCTAATATATTCTATTTAGATCAGACTTACGTTTTGAAAAAAAAATTTTTTGTATTATTTTATAATCTACTATAATATTATACCTAACCTACTATAATATCTTTAGTTCTGGGAAGTAATTTCCGGCGAGCACGGAATCACCGAAGACGGTAGCTACGCTGGCGATTCTGATCTCCAACTGGAACGTATTAATGTCTACTACAATGAAGCCAACGACAATAAGTACGTTCCTCGTGCTGTATTGGTCGACTTAGAACCAGGAACAATGGATAACATTAGAAATAGTGTTTATGCCAATCTTTTCCGACCGGACAATTTTGTCTTTGGACAAAATGGTGCGGGAAATAACTGGGCAAAAGGACATTACACTGAAGGAGCTGAACTGGTGGATAATGTGCTGGATGTGGTGAGGAAGGAGGCTGAGAACTGTGATTGTCTTCAAGGTAAGATAAGGGTAGGGTAGGGTAGGATAGGGTAGGGTAGGGTAGGGTAGGGTAGGGTAGGGTAGGGTAGGGTAGAGTAGTACAGTACAGTACAGTACAGTACAGTACAGTACAGTACAGTACAGTACAGTACAGTACAGATAATTTTTAAACAACCTTATCATTACCCAACCTCATTTCAGGATTCCAACTAACCCACTCCCTCGGCGGTGGTACCGGTTCGGGCATGGGTACTCTCTTGATCTCAAAGATTCGTGAAGAATACCCAGACCGAATTATGTCCACCTTCAGTGTAGTACCATCACCAAAAGTCTCCGATACGGTTGTAGAGCCCTACAATGCCACTTTGTCTGTCCATCAACTGGTCGAAAACACTGATGAGACCTACTGTATCGACAATGAAGCTTTGTATGAGATCTGCTTCAGAACTCTGAAGCTGACCAACCCTAACTACGCTGATTTGAACCATCTGGGTAAGGTGGCGTGGTAATTTAAATTTTTTTAAATTTTTTTTAATTAAAAAAAAATTTTTTTTTGATTTTTGAAATATAAAATTTTTAAAATTTCAAATTCCAGTGTCGATGACAATGTCAGGAGTGACGACCTGCCTCCGCTTCCCAGGTCAATTGAATGCTGATTTGAGAAAATTGGCGGTTAATATGGTGCCCTTCCCTCGACTCCACTTCTTCATGCCTGGCTTCGCCCCATTAAGCTCCAAGGATTCTGCCGCCTATCGTGCTTCTACTGTAGCTGAACTTACTCAACAGGTAGGTTAATGTAAAAGTTACTGTAGCTTTCGATGGGTTTTCTGGCAATTTTTGGTTTTTTAGGTATCAAATTTCAATTTTTTTTTGAACTGGCAGGACAGGAAAGGGCAAAATTAAAATTTTTTAAAAAATTTTTTGTTTTTAAAATACAAAATTTAAAAATTTTTTTTCAAAATTTCAAATTCAGATGTTTGATGCCAAGAACATGATGGCAGCCTGTGACCCTCGCCACGGTCGTTACCTCACCGTAGCTGCCATTTTCCGTGGTCGAATGTCGATGAGAGAAGTCGACGATCAAATGATTGCTGTTCAGAATAAGAACGCTTCTTACTTTGCCGAATGGATCCCCAGCAATGTCAAGACTGCGGTTTGTGACATCCCACCCAAAGGACTGAAAATGTCAGCTACTTTCATCGGAAACTCGACTTCAATTCAGGAATTGTTCCGACGAATCGCTGAACAATTTACTGGTAAGTAGGGTAGAGGCAGAGTTAGGTGGGGGTTGGGCCAGAGTAAAGTGAAGGTAAAGCATGGGTAAGGTAACATTTTATATCTTACCCTTCCTCACTGCACTAACACAACCTAACCAGCACAAATTACTTTTAAAAATTTCCATTTCCAGCCATGTTCCGTCGCAAAGCCTTCTTGCATTGGTACACTGGTGAAGGTATGGATGAGATGGAGTTCACGGAAGCCGAAAGCAACATGAATGATCTTATCTCCGAGTACCAGCAATATCAAGACGCCAGCGCTGACGATGAAGGCGAATACGAAGCTCAACCAGAAGTCTACGAACATAGCGATTAATTTGCATAACTTATGTCTTATTTATGTGTTTTGTACCGTGTTTTATTCAGTACTATTGGTGGTAATGTATCTGTACTATAATATTATAAAAATATAACTGTACTCTTAATAATAGTACATAGTGCCTATAATCATACGGTATTACAGTACTATCTGCACTTTAAATATTATAGTACCTAGTGCCTATAGTAATACATAAGAAGTATTATAGCCTAACATGCCTTTACTTTAACTAGGTACATAACTGACCTTGTACTCGTCTCAATTTACTTACACTGTCATAGTCATACCTACTTTCAGTATTTACTTACGTTACTTAATAAAATCTTTCAAAAACTCAGGGAATATTTTGATATAAGTCTTCCTCAAGGATAATATACCTCAAAAACAAAAGTTAATCAAATATACCATTCACAGAGTAAAACAAGTTACAACATCCAACCTTCATTCAAATATTATCACATTTACTCAAGCTTTTTACAATTTCCTCACACTAGACCTTGTAGAAGACCTGACAGACAACAAGTCTTCTGTAAAGATATCCGACGACTCTTGTTTGTCCTTCCTCACAATCAATGGTGTTATGCTGGTTCGGCTCTTGTTTGACGGAGTGCTTCTAACCGATCCTGGCGTTTTCCTCGACAATAATCCCGTATTCTTGGTTTTTATACCTAATTTAGTTTCGGCTAGTTTGTGTGCAGCTGGAGACATCATGGCCAGTCGGCTGAGGGTCGACATTCGACTGTGAGGGTTTCTGAAAGTTGAATTATTGTTGTCTTATGTATAAAACAATATCTAAGTTCTACAAAAGTGGCATAAAGCGATATTACCATTAATTTATGTCTATTTTAAAGCTTAAAACAGTTACTACGACAATCAAATGCACTAAAGCCACAAAAAGGCTATTTTAGACGATTTCAGCTCATTTTTTAAAACTTTTTCGACTGGTCGCAAATATAAATTTTCAAATATTAATTTACCTATTTATAACATAGATATTCATCTAACTCAATAATAAATATCAAGCAATTCAGACTATTCAATCATAACTTATTTAACTTTTTACTCAAATCATGTCAAAATTTTGAAAAAATATTATGGCAATTAGATAAGAACTTTTTTTAATTTTCGACCGGTCATAAAACAAAATTTTCAAATTTCACTTTATAAAATGAAAATACAGTATTTACTCTAGCGTTTTAAAAAAAATCCAAAAAACTTCAACAGCCCACCTTCAAGTTACACTAGGTTTTACCTGACCTACTACACTTTTTCGCCATTTTGACAAAAAATAAGCTTGGCCTATTCTACCTCATTTTTTCGACACGTAATGGAAGACAATTTAAAAATTTAACTTTACACGAACATCGTATAGATACTGATTTACCAAAATTTAAATTTTCAAAAAATCCCTCCCCTCTTCCCCAAATTACACTCCCCTTTCCCCAACCTACCTTAACTTCTCAGTCATTTTTTGTGAAAACGCTCGTTTCGCCATATTATTCTTCTTGATTTTATCCGCCAATTCATGTGCAATAACTTCTCTTTTTGTTGGTTCTGGTAGCCTAAAGGAAGGTACTCCATCTGGTGCTGGAGTCATGTCCGCACCGTCCAATCTGAATGGGGTACCATCGATTTGTCCCCAGGTTATGAAGGGTGAGTCTTCTGGTTGTGGGGTCGGGTTTGGCGTTGGCAGGACTTCGAAGCCTCCGGCTCCTAGGTTTTTCTCGACAATTTGTCCGGATATATCAACTTTTGGTACTACGAATTTGTTGGCTGTTTGGGTTGAAGCCTAAAAAGGTAAAGCTTTAGTTAAGAATTCAAAATTTTTTGTGCTTTTCATATTTTCAAAGCTCTTAAAAGCTCTAAAATCATATAAAAGTATGTTTTATAACAAAAAACAATGTTATCCTACATTTTTTCAACTCAAAATTTAAAATTTTGCCTTTTCTAGGCTAAAAAACTCATTTTAAAACGAAAATCTTACAGGTTCCTTCCATCCAATCGTTTTAATGTCAATTCTGGTCGCTTTTTTGTTGATTTCCAGTTGATTTCCCTTCAGGCGATCCAGGAACTCCTTGGCTGTTGGAGCTGCTTCTTCAATGTCAAAAAGTACAGTATTCTTGGCTTTATAACCCCAGTTGTCCAATCCATTCGGTCTGTCTTTTAGCTCATCTAAAAGTACATTATTATAAATCGTATCTAAATTTTGATTAAAATACCTTAAGGTATACCTTACCTAGTTCAAAAAATCGATCACTAACAGCTACTGCCTAATAATAGCCTTACTTTATCTACAATATAACAAGCAAAACTTACCGGGTTTTCTAGCCTCAATCATTTGAATATCAGCCTCTTCCGCCATAGGTATGGCCTTCCGAACAAACTCAGCATTATGTTTCTCTTCAGCTTTGTAAATCCAATTATGTACCTTACGATGAGCTTCTTCATCAAGTTTACAAACATCATGAAAGCTCTTCGTATCTTCACTAACATAATTATCCACAAAACTTTGTACTGTGTGCTTCTCCACATCAACTGCAGTGCTTGGACCCGGTTTTTGCTGAAATTGTTAATTTTTTAAGCTGTTTCTTTTGAAATTTAGGTAATAAAGCCTCCAATATTCACAAAAACACTTTTAAAATCCGTATAATACCTGTGTACACCATTATATACATAAAAATTACCTAAATTTAGAAACATCAACAACAAAACTTACATTATCATCAACTTCATTAGTCCCTTCCTGATTAGCAATCACTTCCATCTCCGTATCAACATCAAACCGTCGTTCATCTGGATTATATCTTCTGGCAGTGTTTTTGGGACCTTGTAAAGTGTCTGCACTAAATTTCATCTGAATACGGCGTAACGCTTCCACATCGTTCCGTTCTACAGCATCTAGGTACTCTTGTTGTGCCTAAAAAAATATAATTAGTAAATAAAACATAATTTTTTGAGAATTCTACGTTCTTTTATATAGGAAACCTTATAATGTTGCTTTACTCATATAAATTAAACTGTTAAACACATATTTCTGTGATAAAAAATTTTTTTATACAACATCTTCAAAGCTTGAAATCTAAAACAATATTTCTATTCAAAAACATTTTTAAAAGCTCCTAAAATCAAAACATATTTTAACAAAGTCATACTTTTAACTTTGGAAGCTCTGGAAAGTAATCCCGCACAATAATCTTTTGTAGATCTTCTGTAAATTGATCTTCTGACAACACTTCTCTCGGCTTTTTGAAAACCTTCACTGGTCGATTCTCTTCGCTCAAAACCACTTCCAAATTCGACTTTTCCGGCTTTCGTACAACTGCTACAGTATTGTAAAGTTTAGAAGCTTTTCTAGCCGATTCTGTCAGGCGTTTATCGTCCAAATCGTCCATTTCAACTACACCAATATATTTGATACCTGAAAGAAAAGATAGATATTAATATAGAAAATAAAATAAAATCAAATTAAAATATCAAAAAAACTTACTTTTTTATTTAAATCAACCTTGAAAAACCACGATTTCAAAATTAATTTTAAAATTTTTTTCGAAAAATATAATTTTAGAGATAAACTTGACACATAAAGAGAATGTGAGTCAAGTATTTCTTTATAGGTGTAGTTTGTAGTTACACATGGAGAACTTACTGTAAACTAAAGTGTATATTGTAAAAAATGGTTTCTGAACATCAAAGAATATTTGTCAAGTTTATTTAATTGTAAAAACTTTGAAAATTGATGTTTGTTTGTTTTTGCTGACATGGAGAACATTTTTTGTTGGTTTGCGTTAAGTTTTACAATGTAAAACATCATTCTTCATTAGAAATAGGTATGTTTTACTTTGCAAATGTTTTTCTACATATATTTATTCGTTTTCAGATGACCTTTAAACGCTAAAAAACGCCATCTGAATCAAGTTGTTAATCTCTAAATTTGTCCTACTTTACTATAGTAACAAAACTGGTCAAAAACTTTTAATTCCCAACAAAATTGATCATGTAAACGTATTGACGTAGTCACCAAAGTTCTGCGAACATTACAACGTTATTATTAATTTGCTTTGATGAACTGATCAGGAGGTATGAGAAAAGAAAACTAATTGCCTTCAGGGGAATTTGAACGGAAATCTTTCTGATAAGTGGCTTCAATTTGCAAATCCGTGGATTCGCAAAAGCGAATTTGGAACGTGGTCAAGGTTTTAGGTTATACTTTAACTCATAGGTGTAGATTTTAGTTATTCTACTTGCTTTAGGTATCCATATTGGTTTAGGTATCTGAAATAAGGTTTGAATCGAATTTTAGTTGGTTTGAGGCCTTAATAAGTTGTTTGGTTTCTCATTTTAGCCATAAATTCACTTTCTCTTCCTAATTTTTACATTACATTGCCATTCTCTATAAACCTATTATATTGTTTATCAGCTTCATCATCTACTACAATATAAATAAATTGAAGCCAAGGCTTTTAAAAATTATCTATTGGTCTTGTTTACTAAAAACTAGTGTCAATAGTACTGTATCTACTTGTAAAAGGCACGTACTTCATTCTTTCACTTTTTGTCTATTAAAAAATGGCAGATTTTTGGAAACACCGCTTTAGGTGGTTTATATTAGCCATAGGTATGACATGCTTCTCTTCTTTGGCTTCAAATGCCGTTGTTTTTAATATGGTTGTTGTTTGTATGGCTTCTGATTCGAATACTACTGTAAGTTTTTGAATTTTAGGTAACAAAGTAGCTGAAAAATAATAATTTTAGGTAACAAAAAGGTTAAAAATTAACATTTTTAACCAAAACTATCTTGAAAAACTAATTTCTTATGTAAAATAATTTTATTTTAGGTAATAGAAACCTTCCCACCCCTAGACTACACTCAATATGAAATCACACAAACAAATTGGGCATTGGGCTTAGGAACAGCGATAGGTACGATACCATTTAGTGAAGTGTACTCAAGGTATGGGGCTAAGTACCCATTCTTTGGAGCTTGCATCTTATCAGCATTAGCAACCGCTTTAATGCCATTTGGAGCTGAAAGTCATTTTGTTTGGCTTTTGGTTTTAAGGGTTTTGCAGGTAAGATATTACAGTATCTTGTGGAGCAAATTACGGTAGTTTTACAGTAGAGTAAGGGGTAAAAAAGTAAGCTATAGTCTGGTAGGGTAAGATAAGTTAGAATATGGTAGAATAGAGCAAGACAGGAAGGGTACGGTAAAAAATGTAAATTAAGGTAAGATAGGGTAATGTAAGGTATATTAAGTTGCCATAAAATGCAGTAGGGAAGTTACGGTAGGTAATAGAATAGGGTAGGGTAAGCTAGGATAGGGTAACATATGATAGGGTAAGGTAGGGTAGGGTAGAATGTTTCACTGTAGTATAAGGAACGGCAGGTTATGGCTGGCAATGGTAATATATTTAAAATTATTATTTCAGGGCATTGCCTTTGCGGCTGATTTTGCATCAGTGGGATTACTGTGCAGTAAATGGTCGACAGTGGAGCAAACTGGTCTTTTTATATCTTTAGTTACCATATATTCACCTTTATCAGTTGGCTTTACCAATGTTCTCAGTGGAATTGTGAGTTTAATATTTTTAAAATGAAATTGCGACTTTTTGGTCAAAAATTTGATAAAAAATTGGATTTTAGGTCTAAAAGTAGATATATAATATAACTTTAGGTAAGAAAAAAAAATAAAAAAATATTGTTTGGTCAAAAAGTTCAAGGAAAAGCTTATATTTTAACCTATTTTGATCAAAAATGATTTTTTTAGGTATGCGGCTCAAATCTAGGCTGGCCAATGGTCTATCACTTTCATGCTGTAGTAGCTATTGTCGCCGCTTCATTTTGGTTGGTTTTCTACGAAGATAGTCCAGCTATGTCATCAAGAGTGTCACCTAAAGAGCTGGATCGAATTCGAGAAGGAAGGGCCAAGAAAGAGCTGGATTATGGTGAACCGGCTCCTTATGGGGTAAGAAATGGCATTTCTCGGCTAAAATCTGAAATATTTTGAAATTTTAATCTTTTTTTTAAATTTTTTTTCGAAAAAATTTAAAAATTTAATTTTTTTTTAATTTATAATTTATTAAAATAATGCCATTTCCAATTCCAGAAACTCCTAAAAGACCCAATAATATGGTCGATTTGGTTCAGTGGCTCAATGGAAGTGTTTTCGACCAACTTTCTAGCCATCTATGCTCCACTCTACATACGATATGCTTTGGGATATACAGTAGAATTTACTGGATACTATTCTGGAGTGGCAAGAATGATGCAAGTACCATTAAGATTGACTGTCGGCTTCTTTGGACATAAAGTAACGTAAGGTCTTTGTAAAATACGTAATTCTGAATTACTGATTTAAATTACGTATAGTATATTTAGAAAGGGAAGGGGCAGTCAAAATTATTTTAAAAAATCAGGGGTATGGCAGGATTAAAAAAGGGAATAAAAAAGGGTGGGGGTAGGCGGATTGAGAAAAAGTAGGGTAAAGCAAGACAAGGTAAAGGTAGGGTAAGACAAGCGTAGGGTAGGTCAAGGCAAGCGTAAGACAAGGGAAGGCAAGGTAAGGGTAGGTTAAAGCAAGGGAGGGTAAGAGCAGAGCAAGACGAATCAAAAAAAGTTAAGGAGAGAGTAAGGCCAGGACAAGGCAAGGGTAGAGTAAGGGTAAGGCAAGGACAGGGCAAAGCGAGAAGTAAGATAAGGTAAGTTAAGGTAAAATTGGGGTAGCGCAAAAGAAGGTAAGGGTAGACCAAAGTAAGGAATGATGATAGGAGCAATTTAAGGTAAGGGTAGGGCAAGGAGAGTATGGTATGGTATGTTAGGAATTACTTTATATACACTAACTTATAATGACTTTAAATATTCTAGATTTCTATCTGAAAAGAACCGTATAATAACCTACAACACCATAGCCCTGGTCGGTGGAGGCATCTCAATGCTTCTCACTCCTATAACCTCTCACCACATCCCCTTCCTAGGCATCTTCTTCATGTGTATGGTCAACTTCACCACAGGCGTCTGTTCCTGTGGCTATTGGCAATCAGCCCTCTTATACTCAAGACAACATAGTCACTTCGTAATGGCAGTGGTGCTATTTTCAAAGTGTATCAATTTATTCTTGAGCCCATTATTAGTGGCCATATTTGTACCAGATGTGGACCAAAACTCCCAATGGACAATAATATTTGTGGGTGTGGGAGTGTTGATGATATTGGCAGGGGTAATCTTTATTAAGTACTCTGAAGCCACCCCTGCCAAATATTTGGAGAAAAGTGAAAAGATTACGGTGGATTTTCCGAAGGATGAAAAGCAAGATACGAAAGAAGATACCACGGTAACTAGTGGGAATTTGAAAGTTAGTTCTGTTTAGATTTGACATTTTTGAAAAATTGTACTGTAATTTGGTTGTAATGTTAATTTTAACTTTTTTTGCTATTTAATAGTATGGTTGGTCAAAAAGTAAAGAGAAAAGCCTAAAAGGTCATACTGAAAAAATTCTTGTAAATTTTTAATTTTGTATGTAAAACTATGTTTGTTTTGTAAATAATGAAAAGTAATAATAAAGTGCCTATTTTAATTAAACTAATTAAGAACTCAAGGCAAATGTAAACTTTCAGTAGAGCACACCATGTCTAATATCTCACAATGTGTAAGGTATTTGACTATATATTTGTACTCTTTTGAGCTAATATCTGAGTCATTGTTTATTTTGTTTTACTATGGTTTTTGAATAGGTATGTTACTTTCAAAAATTGAAAGGTACAAAAGGACAGAATAACGATCAAAGTACTTGAGCCTTCAGGTTTTGACCCAAGGTTTTTAGATGTAAGTTTACGTTTATCGGCAACGAAATTTCTTTATAACTAGCAACTTTTTACTCTCCAGAAAAACGTCACAGTACTTTTAAAACTCCTGTACACCAAAACTGTTTTCTGACAAACAAATTCAAAATCTCTGGTTGATTCGTTATCCCGTAGTTTTACACTAATTCTTTTAAATGTGATAAATTGCCTTATTATTATAACCTTTTTTTTAACACACAGCTAAAATCATGAAAATTAATGTAACTGTACATATATCGTTTATGTGGTCAAATAACGCAGTGAAAGAAAGCCTTCACGAATATGCCATAGTTTTCAAGTTACATTAACTTTACTGTGATCTGACTTATTCTGAATTTGAGTTCTACTGTATATTCTATAAAAAAAGTATATTCACGTTTTTTTTATATTTTGTGTTGATTTTTGTTTTTCAAAAGTCACAAAACAAGTATGTTTTATCAGTTTTTAAAGATTGATCTGCCTTTTGTAGCAAAAACATTCCCACAGTGTAATAACATAACATAAAGGCTACCCTACACTCAGGGCCGGGCGCGAGGGGGGGGGGGCCCCAGAAAACATTTTTCGAAAAAAGTTGAACGTGGTCCCCCCCCTGTGGATTTTTGGAAAAAAATTTTCGCAAAAAAATCGGCACAGACTTGTGCCGATTTTTTGGAACCCCGCCCCCAGACCAAAAGTCCCCGCCCGGCCCTGCCTACACTAGTTATAAAGTAGTAATAGTACATATTATACAAACCTTGCTAAAAAGTTTCAAAACATCAAAACAAAATCCAGCCGCTCATTGAACTTGATGTTATGACCATACTGTCGATAACGTAGCACTTTTTGCTTCTTTGATTTCTGATTCAATAAAGGCTTAATTTTATTCAAATACTCAACTACTTTTGACTACCTTTTTTATTTTTCGATAATTTATGATAAAACAATGAAAAACAGTTACTTTGCTTATTTTTGGAACGTCATTCTATTTAGTTTTGATTGAAATTTTCAAAAAATCGAATTTTTAAATATTTTTTTTTTAGTTTTTGAAAAAGATATTGATTGCCAAAATAAATCTAAATTTGTATTGTTCTACCAATTTTTTGACTGGTAATTTTGTATTTTTAGTTTGAAAGTAAGTTAATGATCTCAAAAGCAGATACAATTTGAGTAAAAGCAGTCATTCTATAGACTTTTTGACCAATTCAAAAGCTGAAAATTTAAAATTTAGCTCTAAATTTTAATTTTTTTAACGTTGAAATAAGAAAAATTAAAACAAACTGTCATTTTTAGCTTAAAAAGTACTGTGTTGCCTATTTTTAGTCGCACCAATCTCAGAATATGACCACTTTTTGGAACCATAGATTTCGTTTTTTCATTTTATTTATTGGTATAATATGCTTTACATCACTGGCATCGAATGCCATGGTGTTCAGTATGGCCGTTGTTTGTATGGCTTCTGATTCGAATACTACTGTAAGTTTAAATGCATTGTAAAATACGAAGACGACCTCTGTTTTGTTCAAAGAAATGTTTGAGGTACGGAAAAAGTCTTTTCGTTAAATTACTATGTTTATTTGCACGTCCAAACACGACAAGACTTTTTTATATTAAATAACCTACTTTACCTTAAACTGCCTTACCCTACCTTACTCAATAACATTATTAATCATTTTAGAGGCTGGTCTCCTTCCCTCCACTAAATTACGATCAATTTGATATTACTCAAACAAACTGGGCACTAGCGATAGGTACAGCTTTAGCCACAGTGCCGTTTAGTGAAGTTTATTCTCGATTTGGAGCCAAATACCCATTCTTTGGAGCTTGTGTATTGTCAGCATTGGCCACAGTGGCAATTCCATTTGGAGCAGAAGCTGGCTTTGCTTGGCTTCTGTTTTTGAGGTTCTTGCAGGTAAGCAATTTGAAATTTATGTTCATATAAAATGTACGACAGGGCAAACGTATTTTACTATAATTCTTGTTTTTCGAAAATTTAAAAAATTTTTATAAAAAATAATTCTTTAGGGTATAGCCTTTGCTGCTGACTTTGCATCAGTCGGTTTGGTATGTAGCAAGTGGTCCACATTGAAGCAAAGTGGTCTTTTCATTTCGTTGGTGACGTGTTATGCACCCTTATCAGTCGGATTTACCAATGTCATGAGTGGTTATGTAAGTATACAAAAAAGATATGTCTAGTTATACAAATTACAGTGTACATGGACGTATGTTACATCTACTTTCTCTTTTTTTTCCTTAAAATGCAGTTTTTAGGTATGCGATAGCAGTTTCGGCTGGCCGATGGTGTATTACATTCATGCGGCCATTGGTGTTGTCGCAGCATTCTTATGGCTCGTTTATTATAAGGATACCCCAGCCAAGTCGATAAGAGTATCAGCTAAAGAATTACAAAAGATTCAGAAAGGTAGAGCTGATAAAGAATTGAGTTACAACGAAACCACACCTTATCTTGTAAGTCAATTACCTTACTTACTTTGTCCTACCCCATTCCACCTTGCCCTATCCTACCCTACTTATCCTAGGCCCTATCGTACCAAATTCATAATGTTTTCAGCGTTTACTAAGAGATCCCATCATCTGGTCGATTTGGTGTAATGGTTGTATAGAAGTCTTTGCCACCAATTTCTTATCAGTATACGCAGCCTTATACATGAGATATGCCCTTGGTTACAGTGTAGAATTAACTGGCTTTTACTCTGGTATCTCAAAATCAATGCAAATGCCTACTCGTATATTGGTGGGACTTTTTGGACATAAAATAAGGTAATATGGTATCAAAAACTATTATGGTCTCAAAAAGAGTACTAAACTAAGATCTTCCTCTTACCTAACTAATCCAATCCTTCCAGCTGCATATCCGAACGTCAACGTGTAGTCCTCTACAACAGTATAGCCCTAATTGGTGGTGGTATATCAATGTTCTTAATCCCAATATCCGCATATTCTTCAGCCTTTCTGGCCGTCTTCTTCATAGGCTTGGTCAACTTTTGCACTGGCGTCGCATCTTGTGGCTTCTACCATGCTGCCATTCTTTATTCAAGACAACATTGTCATTTTGTAATGGCTGTCATATTATTCTCACAATGTGCCAATTTGTTCATTGGACCCTTATTGACAGCCGTTTTTGTGCCCGTCATGGAAGACATGACTCAATGGGCCGGTATCTACATTGTCAGTGGAATATTGATGGTTGTGGTAGGTTTGGTTGAAAAATTTATCATTTTTGTATTCGACATAACTCAAAAATTATAGTATTCATATTAGAAAACCTAAAACGTTTTCAAATTTACCATAATTTATAAGTTGCAGTAACTTTACCGCAACCCTAAGTATTCAAAAATTCTTAAAAACTGTTTAACGAAAACTTTTATATTTTAGTGTGGATTAGCATTCATCAAGTATTCCGAGATCGCTCCACCACCATACCTCACGGAAATCAAGAAAATAACCGTAGAAGTTCCAGTAGACGACTCCGCCAAACTTAAACTTTAATGTAAAATAAAAATTTATTTATTAGTAATAAATTATAAAGTATATTTTAAAAACTTGACTAAAAATTGGTAAAAGATTCTCTAGACGCCGTAGTTTACCTTACTCATCCAACATTTTCCTCAAAAATAATAAATAACTCAACGCTTCGCCAGACATTTCGTTTTCGTGGCGGGACCAAAATAATTATAGAGTGTAATTTCGAGTAGACGCGATATTGTCTGACGAGCAAGTTAGAGCTGTTTTCCACAAGAACATGTTATTATTTTTTACTCATAGCTTTCAAAATTCGTATATTCATTAAAATCGAAAAGTTTTTAATCGATAAACTTGAAGACGATTGTCTGGTTTTTGTTGTTTTCTAGCTCGCTGGGTGGGTTTTGAAACGGTGTCGGCTGCGTGAAAGAAAAAGATTTTGATGTTATTGTGTTGTTTTTAAATATATCTTTGTTTTTTTATTTTTTAAAATATTTTATATGCATTTTACTAAAATTTTTGTTACTTTGATTGATTTTACTTTGAAATTGGTGGCTCTGCTTTGTTTCTTAATAAAATTGTATAGCATTTGATATAAAGTATATTATAAGTTGTACATTTTAACATTACCCGGGTTGTAAGCGTGCTTATAATACAAATTGTGACTACAAAAACTAATTTTGTTGATATTTATTTCTTTTTTTTATTGTTTTAGACATGAATGGAACGAGTAGTAACAATACAGATGAATCTTTACCTCAACCTGGCACGTCAAGCCAACAATCTCAGGCTGTAGCATCTTTAGACAGTTTAAGACGTCCAGAAAATGTTGATCAGGAAACTATACAAGGTAATTCAATTATTTTATGTTATTTTATGGTTTTAGGTACAAATTAGAGGTATACGTTAAGGCAAAAAAACTTTTTTGAACTTTAAAGTTGTCGGACTTGAAGGTTATGATGCAGAATAGTTGTAAAAGTCTATAGAGCTTGTGTTAATATAGATTTAAGCTAAATATATTGTTTTAGACATTAGTAATATTGTCTTTTGCAGAATTTCTCATACATATCCACGGGTTTTTAAAGTCAACGGGTTTATCGAATGTTGCCGATGCTTTGGGGGACGAATTGAATAAACGGCAGTTTGTACCACCTCGAATAGGGTTTGATGGATCTGAACACACTCAATCTTTAACACAATTTGTAAGTATTTTTTATCTTTTTATTGGAATTTAGGTATCAACTATGTACTTAAAGTTTTTAGTTTGTTAAAGTTTTCCTTTGTTACTATATTATCGAAATTTTAGTTATCAATCGCCCAGCCTTACTCAACAAACCTCTTGGAGCTCTTCTCACGGACAAAGGAACTAACTAACTCAACATTACCTCAAACACTTCATAATTCAAAAGTCAGACTGTTTACGACAAAACGGACAAATCTGGCTAGAAGGAATGACTTAAATCAACATTTTACCTATTCTTTGCTTAATATGGTACGACCAAAACCAAAACAATTTCAAAATACTCAATATATGAATATTCTGAATGCCAGAGAGATGGGGCTTAAGGTTGGACAGCGAATATTGATGCCTAAAACAACATGGGGAAGATTGCAAGAGCACGGGAAGTTTTTGGGACATTTGAGTCAAGTCTTTTGTGTTTGTTTCGATAGAACTGGGCGATATGTTGTCACGGTAAGATTTTTAGGTAACATTTTTTTAAAATTTAGGTTTTTGAGACAAATATTGAAGCAGCTATTATAATATAAGAATGCTCAGTACATCTTTGGGTTTCACTCTATTTTATGGCATCTTTAGGGTGGAGATGACAAGCTAATCAAAGTTTGGGACACAGTAACTGGCCTATTGAGATATACCTTTAGAGGTCATGAAGGAGAGATTGCAGATTTGTCTATAAATTTGGAGAACACATGTTTAGCTAGTGGATCTACTGATAAAACAGTAAGGGTATGGAGCTTGACAAATGGTCAACCGTTGATGATATTCAAGAATCACAAGGCACTGATAATGGCAATTCATTTCTTGCCATTTTATGAAGGAAACATCAGATGGCTGGTGTCTTCCAGCTCGGATTGCAAAGTCGTCTTCTATCGGTATGATGCTGATAACCTTGTCTTTGAGTAAGTTATGTTATGTTTGAGCTTGATATTAGGTTGTTCAAAAAACTTTTGAGCTTCTTTCAAAGCTAATTTCCGGGGGGCAGGTGGCTCAGAATTTTTTGAACATTTAAATTGTGACATAAATTTTTAACACTTGTTGTTTTTAAGTGAACTAGCTGTTAAAAAATACTTACTAATATTGAAAACCTTATTTTAGAAGCACCCCATATGAGTTTGAAGAACGTGCGATGTCTGGAGCCAAAATGGTAGCCGCATCTTACTCATCAGGAGGCAACTTTGTCATCACTGGTGGAACAGAAAAGCTGGTTTATATCTACAAGTTGTCCTATCATAAAGTCGACAGAGTCTATGAGTTTATGATTCATAATGTAAGTTTATATATTAGTTTTGTTTAAGGTTATACAGAATTTGGCAATTTTTGGGTTTGCACGGTGCAAAGAAATTAAATAGACTGCACTGTGCAGACTCAAATTAACTGCACCGTGCAGACTTAAAGAAACTGCGTCGTTCAGACTTTAAATTGTTTAAATTGGGCTTTTTATAGGAGACCAATGATTTTTTTCGAAGTTTTAGATATGAAAATTATAAAACTCGGTTTGTTTTAAAATTTTATTCACTTTAGGACAAAATTGAAAGCTTGGTATGGGCCAACAACAACTTTTGGTTTGCCAGCGGCTCAAAAGACGGAACTGCCAAAATATGGTCGTTACAATCAAACGAATGGCATTCAACTGATCTGGTGCTACCTAAAAATATGTGAGTTTGTAAAATACGTTCAGTTGTCTTGGTGTCTATATTTTTTGATGTTTAGGTAATAAAAATGTTGAACATTGTAATTTCGGAACAAAAGAATTTGTTTTTAATTCCGTATTTTACAAAAAAAAATAAATTTCAGCGAAGAATCAGCAGCCCAATCAAGTCAAAACGCCTCTCAAAACCCGACAAATCAAGCCAAAAAAGCCTTCAAACTCAACATGTTATGCTGGTCTTCGGACGATACAAAAGTCATCAGTATTGGCAATGATTTCTTTCTACGAGTATCAGATGCACGAACTGGAGAACTGTTGAAGCGATTGGAAGGACATACTCAAAATGCATATGTCATTAAGAGTCACCCTGTTTACAATGAAGTCATCGTATCTGCTGGGCATGATGGACAAATTTGTGTAGGTTTGGAGGGGGGGTGGGGGGTGATATCGATTTTTTAATAATTTTAAGGGAGGGGATTTGAAATTTTAAAGATTTAAAAAAAATAAAAAAATGTGGTTAAAATGGCAGTAAAATGACAGTAAAATGACTTAAAACCGTTTCAAATTGGTCAAATCTGGTCAAATGTACTAACAAATATAAACTATACCCAAAAGACTTCACAAAATAATAAAAACCAAGACAAATTAAAACAAGTTTATAAAAACTAAATAATATAACACTAAACTACAAGCTGACTACTGTTTCTGCTTGAGATGTTGTCTTAGCAAGCGATGAGACGACCCTTTCAATGCATTGTACACATTGGCAGGTAATAAACGTGGCACTTCGTCGTCGTTGATGAAAATGGCACGGAGTTGGTGGTCTGAAAAGGGAAATTTTAGGTAACAAGTAAAAAATGGGGAGTTTAGGTAACAAATTTTTTAATATTTAAAAATATGTTTTTGAATGTTCTTACCATTGATAATAACATTGGGAGCCCACGCCTCGATCATTTTTAAGAAGTAAAACACACCAAACAAGAACGCCGTTCCAATTGGCCCTTGATCGTCTCGTATAACCACAATCTTGTCTAGATGGTAAGGGTAGAAAATCTCCTGAAAATAGACAGTAAAATACGTTGAGACGCTTGAATAATACGAAGAAAACATATCAAACAAGAATAATATAAAAAAAATGTAAAAAGAATGGTCTAAAATGCCTTCGAACCCAAACAAAATCACACAGAAACTCACATCCAAGTTCACCTCATTAATATCCTTGGGCACGTTGAACAAGGCCACCATACCCTTCTTCTCCCTATTCACATGCCAACAACTACCATCTCCTTTGTGCTTATACAGAGCCATATCTTTGGGCGGGTACTGAACTTGAATGGTCACATTCGGATTCTTCTCCATCTCCAAATCATCAATATATTTTGTGCCCACCGTGATCTCCAACTCCTCACCATCCGACTCGAACTCCGAATCGGAAATGTTGAGTTGATCAATATCCATGACATAGTTTTGGAGGTTCTGGATGGCCTCGTCCGGGTCTTCCTCATATTCGACTTTGACGGGAGTGTTGTGAACGCGTTTTGTCATCCTGATTTTTACAATTTGGCTATTCAAACTGAAAAATTTTAAATTTAAGTTTGATGAAGGGAAAGTTGAGTTCAAGGTTGGAATTTTAAAAACTGAGGTTAATATTTGGATTTTGAGGTAATAATAGGTCGTTCAAATAATTTTGGACGCTGAAAATTTGCTGTTAGAGATGGCAAAGAATTATTTGTAAGAACTAATAGTTGGTCTAAAAGCTGTGAAACTGCTAACGTAGTAGAAGCTAAAGGTCAAAAAGTATATAGAAAAATGAAAATTATCATAGATTTGTTTGAAATTACAGCAATTTATAAAATTTTTGATCAAGAAACATAAAATGAAATTTTAACAGCGTTTTTCACTCAAAAAAGTGGAAAAAATTAAATTCTAAGAACTTTTTGACCAAAAAATCTATAAAAACCAAACTTCCAACAACATTTTGACTTTAAAATGTAAAAAAAACAGAAATGACAAGAACTTTTTGACCACACAATTGCAAAAAATGTAATAAAACTTACTTTGCGTTGTTGGACTGCACGTGACGACAACTTTGCACAATGTAAAAAGAAATGAGAAAATCGAAAAGAAATTGCGGTTTTTATAGTCATTGAAAATTTGCATATTTTCCAAAAAATTAAAAAAAATAAAATAAGAGTTTTGAATTGTCGAAAAATATTTAGTTTATTCAAATTTGGGGGTTTTTTATGTTTTTGTTGTGGGGGTTTTAATTGACTGTAAGTAGACCTGAAAGCCCGACCTCGGGCAGGCCGAAGCAAATTTCGATGGCTAGTCTCGAACCAACGCGTCAGGGGTCCAGCTTAGGCACCGCAACTATTAAGTTATTCAATACAATAATGATGAACGTATTTTACAGGTATGGGACATAGAAGAAGGTCGAGCCATTTGGAAGCATTCGAATACAGATGAATTCACTCAAATTCCAATACCCATTTATGATTTGGCAATGCGACCGGATGGTGATCTGATGGCATTCGTTGATAATGGCGGAGTTTTGTCGCTTTATGGCCTCGGGGAAAATAGAAAAAGTCTGGAGAAGCCGAGACATCAGTTCTTCAATACTGACTATGAGTAGGTTATAAGCTTATAAAGGGTTTAAAAATGGTAAAAATTGAAGTTTTATTGGATTTTTTTGAAACTTTGATAATTTTTTTAAAAATTTTTAAAATTTTGAAATTTTAATTTTTTTACATTTCCGCGATAAATTTTGAATTTTAATGCCCTACACTTTAGAGAATTTATGCACGATCCAAATGGCTTAGCCGTGGACATCTTTGGAGCCCCACTCCACCTCCCAGCCGAAGTACCGCACTATGTTAACATAGAAGGTGCACCATACCCAGAAGAGTTCCAAGCTAACGTCCCAGGACACGGCACTCGACTAGATGAAGGAGAACTCATCTGGAATGAAGAACATCGAATCATTCCTCAACTGGGTGAATCAGAACTGAATGTATTGATAGAACGACAAATGGCCAAGAAGAAAAAAGAATTATTGGAGTTTGAAAAAGCAAGCGAGGTCAAGATGGACAAGGAAGCGATGAAAATGCTGGCTGAAAGAGCTGAGGCTGAGAAGCAGAAGCAAAGAGAAGAAAGGCTTCAGATTCAGAGGAGGAAGAATCAAGGTAAAATTTGGTTGAAGTTGGTGAAAACTGATTTTTAAAATCGATTTTTGCCGTTTTTATTATCTAAAAATGAAAGTTTTATAATTTTTTGATTAATATATGGTTTTTACTATGAATTTTTAACCAATTAATTGTAAAATGTTTAAAACATAGGTATAAAATAGGGTATTTTACGGTTAAAGTCGAGATAAAATTGATTTTCCTAACAGATTTTTTAAGAAAATCAATTTTCAGAGCGCCGAACCTTGATGAACGAAACATACGAACGTTTAATGAACAGAGACTACCGCTTCGAAGAACAACAGGATGATGACGAAGACGATTCCTCATATTCGGAAGGCGAAAACGAACGTGTAGTCAGTAGCAGAAGAATAATATCGGACGAGGAAGAGGAGGAAGAAGACCTGGCACAAGACGAAAATGACAGTGATTTTGATGTAAGTGAAGGAGTAGGTATAGGGAAGAAGTAGGGTAAAGTAAGGTAGAGTAGGGTATTGTAGGATAGGGTAGTATGCAGGGTTGGCAACAGGGCAGGGCATTGGCTATTTTCCATGCCCTGCCCTGTGCCCTGCTATGCCCTGCCCGGTACAGGGCATTTCAGTTCCGTGCCCTGCCCTACCCTGCCCTAGGGCAGGGCAGGGCATTTACTATTATAGAGCCTAAAAGTCAATGAACTTGTAAATACCATGAAATACGTACAATAAAGTGTTGTTAAAGCCTATCAATTTTGATACACTTCAAATTGGGGGCGATTTTGGTACTAATACTTCGTTTTTGGATATTCGGCGGAGACCGGCGGAGGCTATTTTTTCCTTTGACCAATGCAAAACCGTGACTTTCTTTTCCTATGACTCCTACTGATTTGTCAAAACGTTTTGAAACAAAAAAATGTGTTTCTTTGCGTCGGCGGACAATCGGCGGAGAAAAACGGCGAAAGCCATAAACTCAATACAGAAGTTGTGTTGTGTTAGATTTAAAATATTTTTGGTATAGAGTAGTTCGCTATACAAGAGTTACACTGTATACTCACCCTTTACTTTAGTCATTTACCTAAAAAATTGACTGAGTTTATGGCCTTCGCCGATTGTTTGCCAATAACATTTCATAAATTTTTTACTTGATTAAGGTCATTGGAAAACAAAAAAAAACACCTTGATTTTTGTCCGGTGAATAAAGGTTGAGATTTAGCGGATTCTTGGTTTTCGCCGTTTTTCTCCGCCGAGTATTAATAAACAAAGTGCCAATACAAATCCGCTTGCAATTTCAAATGTACTTTTCCGGGTTTTGATAACAGCGCCCATCTCAACATTAAATTCCGATATTACTCAAAAAAAGAACGATAGAGTCTGGGCGACTGTGAAGATTTCTACAAACTTTTTGACCGGTCGAAAAAATCAGAAAAGACGAATTCAACCAGTTGATTTTTTAATGAACACGTAATTAGCATTGGCCGAGTTTACCTCAACCGTGTTAAATGCATCGCGGTTTCAACAAAAATTCTAGAAAACCAAATACGCAGTTGCGTTTCGACTGGGTTTGAGCATTACCTTTCTTTCTCTATGCTCTCTCACTTTTTGCCCGCCAAATATTGTAAAAAAAGCGTATTTTTTGGTCAAAAGGAGTGGTCGGAGCCTCGCGCCGAAGGAAGTAATTGAACGGCCCGAGCTTGAAAAAGGAACAGAAAACAAAAAAGGAAAAAAATATTTTTTTACCGGGCATTGCAGGGCATTTACAGGGCATAGGGCATGCTCTGCACGTGTGAAGCGCATGCCCTGCCCTGCCCTGTGACCGATCAGAAAAAAATGCCCTATGCCCTGCCCTAGGGCAGGGTAGGGCACAGGGCACCCTGCTCTGTTGCCAACCCTGGTAGTATGCGGTACTGTAGCGTAGGGAAGGTTAAGAATATGGCAATGCCAATGTATAGTAACGATATGATGTCGATATGGCTAGAGTAGGGCAGTGACATCGTATACGTGGACTAGGCTAACGATATGTACTATTCTCTAAAATTTACCTTTCTTCAGGTTCAACGCCCATCAGCATCCTCAACAAACCGTTATCGTAACACCCTCACAGTAACCGGCAGAAGACGCAAAAGAAGAGGCAACACCAACATCGAATCTCCAGAAACCGCAGCAGCATCAGCTACAGGCACGGCGACACGGTACGGTCGTATCGCCCGTCCTCCGCAACGAATCTACGACGATTTGGCACAACAAAGCCCAACAAGACAGAGAAGACGTCGTCAGCCGAGAAATCCAAACGAACCAGGGCCTTCAAGTGCGTTGTACGATGAGGATTCACGCTTCACAAACGACGAAGACAGTAGATCGTCGTTCACGATGCGCACGAGAAGAAGAGCACGGTTAGAGGAGTCTGAAAGCTTGTCTCCACAGCCAGGAACATCTGGTTATGGTGGTCAAAATGGAACTTACAGTAATGTGGAGAACGGTACCTACAGTAATCATAATGGTACATCAACTTCAAGGGCTTCTAGAATACAGAATTTGGAAGAAGAAGACGAAGAGTATGATGCAGAAGGACAACAAGGTCAGTATAAATATGATGTACAAGGTCAAAGTCAAAGACGAGGCCGTCAGGCCAAGAAACGTGAAGAATATGATGAAGATGGTGAAGATAATGAAGAAGAAGATGAATATGTACCTCAAAAAGAAGCAAGAAAAGCAAAGCGGTCAGCCCATCCAAGAGGAGAAAGCGAGTTTGATGCCAATGATCAAGATGCGTCAGCAAGTGTCATTTACGGTCAAGGCATCGAAGAAAGACTAGAAGATGAAGAACAAGGAGAAGATGAAGTTGTGGACAAATCTGATGATTCTTTCTCTCTAAATTCAGATGTAGAACCATCGTCACCGGAAAAGGAGGAATATGAAGACGAGGACGAAGAAGATGTGGTTGATTTCAGTGTTAAAAACAATGATTTCATTGTGGATGATGAGCAATTTGATGATGATGAAGATGGATCAAGCGACGAAAGTGCAGATGATGAAGACGAGGAGGAAGAAGAAGAATTTGATTCAGATGACAGTGAACAAGTCGTCAAGAAGAAGAGGGGCAGAGCAGCAAAGAAGTCTAAAACAAGATCAAAACACAAATCTAAATCAAGATCAAAAGATAAGAAGAAAAAGAATAACAAGAAGAAAGGAAACAAGTCAAAGAAGAACAAAACCTCACCAAAAAGAAAACTAACCAAGAGAAAACGAACAAAAGGCGTAATAACAGAAGATGAAGAAGAAGAGGAAGAATATAATGAAGAAGAAGAACTAAAGGAAGAGCTAGAAGAAGAAGAGTTTGAAGCAGAATACGGCGAAGAAGAGGAGAATGTTGTGGAAAAAGAAGAGGAAGATGTGGAATACGAAGGACAAGAGAATGATGAAGTGGAAGAACAAGTGGAAGTGGAAAAGCCAACAACTTCAAGAAGGAGTTATGTACAATATGATGATGTAAGTGGTCGAAAAGTAAAAGGAAAATGATTTTTTCGTTGGAAAGTGAATATAAAATAACTGCATTGATTGGAACGTTCATAGAAAATGGGGTTTTAGGTCTAAACATAGGTATAAAATGGAGAGTTAGGTTCAAAAATAAATAGAAAATTGGATTTTGAGGCCTATAGGTTAATAGAAAGTAAGATATTAGGCCTTTTAAACAACTTGATTGTTTTTAAAAATAAAAAAAATATTTTCAGTACCTCGCGGACGACCCAGAAGACGAAGCAGATGCTAAATCCGAAAGCTCGTACGAAGGCTCCTACGTAAACGACGGCAAAAAGCGATACCCCGGAAGGAAACGCGTCAAGCGCCACCAAGCACCCGTCCGCCGATCTCAGCGCTCGACTAGAGTCAAAAAACAACTGACCGAGCTGTCGGACGAAGAGTACGACCCCAACGTGCGACGATCCTCACGCCAAAGAAAACGTATCCGTCTTGATGATGACATTTATGACTACGAGTAAATTCTGCAGTAATTTGTGGTGAAAGCTACAGAAAATGTGGTTAAAGCTGCAGTAAATGTGGAGGAATAACATATCGAGTGACTTTATTTTAATTTATTTTTTATAGTTGGTTTATATGGTATGTGATGTATATTGGTCTTGGTTAAACCGTCTCAAGGATTTTTTGCTGGTTGTATTTTTGGCTTATGTTGTGACGTAAAGTAAATTTGGTTGTAACTAGGCCTGAAAGTGAGTTAACTAGGCACGGGTTGGCCTTGGACTGAGCCGAGCTGAGCAACTTTGAAAGGGCCGTATTGTGTGGGTCCGAGGACTGGGCTTAAAGGAAGGCCTTAAGAACTCATCTTAGGGCCCGCAACGAAATATTTGACTTGCGAAAAGTGTAAAACGGAAATGATATTAACAATGAAATTGCCCCATCCGGCCCACTCAGAATTAGCTTTAAAATTTTATACGGACTATTTGTATTACCAGTAGTACCTATAAAAAATAAGGCCGAAAACTTGGGCTCAGCCCCTTCACAGGTCTAGCTGTAAAAAACATGAAATGTCTATTTATTTTGTACTAAAAACATGATCTTTTTAAAATGCTGTACTCTCTTGTTATAAGAAATGGATGGGAAAGGTCTCTAGTTAGCCTTTTGTTATAAGCAATAGATATGAACGGTATTCATTGATTATTGCGATGATCCACCGGATAAGGTCTAGCAGAGTATATAGGTTGAGGAAAAAAAAGTTTGACTTATTTTTAGGTTTTTCAAATAATTCTGTGCTCTTAACCCCGAAAATTTGCTTGAGAGGGGCACAGAATTATTTGAACAATCTAACATATTCTCCTAGTCCGATTTCTTAAAGAAAAGTTGAGTTATGTACGTTCCTGTTGCTTCTACTGAGAGATTTTCTTATAACAAGACTTTACTGTATATGAGTATATATTTGCTACTAATAATAACAAAAACGGTTCTTTTGATAACGAAAACAGCTTTCATATTGTTGATGTTATAACTGAATTTTTAAATAAATTATTTTGAAAACAATACTAGCAATGTTTTGGAAATGTTGAAATCATTACAATACCTACATGTAAAATCAAATATTTTTGAAAAAAAAATTATTTTTATTTTTTAAATTAAGTTTTTTAACTTCCAACGAAAATTTCAAATATTTTATTGTAGATGGAGCTGTTTTTTGAAATCCTACGCGACAAAACGCATATCATGGTGGATGTGAGTGAATCGGCCACCGTATCAGATATAAAGCAGATCATAGCGGGTGTAACACAACGGCCTATCAATGATATAACATTGAAACGGTCGAAGAATGGTCAGCTAACTGACTGGGAGATTGTTAATGACAACCAGACATTGGGTGGTCTGGGCTTTACACAGAAGAACGCTAAGCCTGATGATCCGGCTGTAATGGCGTTTTTATTGCCTGGTAGGTTGGGTTGTAGTATGGAGGGTAGGATTGTACGAGCCTGTAGGTAGAGTAGGGGAGGGTAGAATAGTGTAGTATAAGCCTTTAGGTGTAGTAGGATAGGCTAGTACAGATTGTTTATTTAATTCTGTGTCCCTAACCCAAAAAAATTGTTTTTAGAGGGGGCACAGCATTATTTGAATAACTTAATATAAGCCTATAGGTAAAGAACACTGTAGTATAGCTTACTATAACATAAAGAGGAGTACATATGTAGATAGTACAGTATAATAAGGCGTTATAACATATTAAAGATGATAAGATAAATTACTGTTTAGAAGACGATAACCAAGTAAACATAACCCCACTATCACTACCACCGCCCCTACCTGATGCTATGCAAAATAATGAAATGAGTGTGGATTAAGTTGGGTCTAAATCAACGTATCAGTACTACATAGTTTTATTTATCTTTCAAATGCGTATACAAAAATAGTCGGCTATCTTTCATATTACTATAACAAAATCCAGAATTTCTATATTTTTGTAATTATCATAAGATCAAATTTTCATCATTTCAGTATTTTTACTATTAGATACGATATTTTCTTTAATAAACAAAATAACTTGTTGTTTCATATACCATAGTTTATAATTGAAGTTTAAAGAAATATGATTTTCTACTTTAATTTTTTTTCAAAGTTTGAGTAAAATACGGGCCGTGCTTTCTACATATTTTATACTAGCGTTTTTATGGAAAAAACACGGGGTATAGAAAAATTGTTTCAATTATAAGATAATTTAAGTATAATAGAAAACTATCAGTGGACAAAGAACCTACAGAGGGCATATTTTTTAGCCCAACTCTTTTCAAATTTACTTCAGCAAAGCCCGGGGCCTCATCTTAATTCATTAAAATAATAAATGGTTCAACTTTTATCGTACTGCTTTTGTGCTTTAAATAATGTACAATTTAGCAGTTAATTTTAAGACCTAATTGAAAAAGGATTCTTTTAAGTCAATATCTTAAAATCAGATTGGTTTCTTTTTTTGTAAGCCAAGTCTTTCGTTACGAAACCTAAGCTTAGTTTTTGGAATCTTGCTTTGGGCATTGGCTGTTGGGCTTACAAGTGCCGGCTCAGCTTCGGTCGTTTTCAAAGATGCTTTGGTCCAGTCCGGGGCCTAGTGAGCCTTATTTCAAGTCTATTCTAATGTAAATTTACCCGTTTTTTTTATTTTGGAAAAGGTTCAACAATTTTCTTTGTTTACCCATGAGCTTTGATCAATCCTATTATAGACCTTTACCTTTTTTAAAACTTAAAAGTCAATAAAAATTTTATAGGGTGCGCCAAAAGTTCTGTTACAAAACCTTACCGGTCGTTTTCTTTTTGTTGCGGTTAAATTACTTAAAATTTTTTATTTTAACTTATTCTCCGTGTTTTTTTGTTGTATAATCATAAAAGTTAAGACTTCATTGTCTACCGTCTGTCTGTATTTAGATGTCAAACTGTACTTTCTTCTTTGCAAAATGACTTTTATGATCACATTGTTAATCTTTTATATAACCCGTTTAATACTCATACTTTAATCATGTTTATCACCACCAATTGCCACTAAAGTCATTAAAAAGCTGCTACTAAAACCATTACTAACAGCCACCAAAAGTGATGTTATATTGTACTTTCTTTGCCGTTTTCAATCAAAAAAAGAGTTGCAAACAATTGCGAAGGTCCATCTGTCATTACGGCCCGCCAATATAATAAGGAACACTCGCCCAATGTTTACGTCCGTTTTGGCCGTTGGAAGAGAGGGGCGGCCAGACCAGTTGGTTCGGAAAAAATCGCCCCATATCGACAAATCTTTTTATTTTTTTGGGCTCCATTTCTTACAATTAGCTAATAGCTCGGCCATATTCGTGTTGGTTTTGGCAGCGGATTTGGTGGTATATCGTTGATATTGGCTGGGGATATATTGAAGTATTGCTTTTGTACTAGGTTACTATCTTTTTTGAGAAAATTTTGTTTATTTAATATAATACTTAGTACTAGTTAAGGGTTGTAATTATATTCGTAGTACTAATTACGGGTTGTAACCATATTCTTCTTACTAACATAGTACTAAAATACTGTTTTGGTACTAGCTTTGACTTTAGTACTCATACTAAACTACTTATACTTAATAGTACTATTATAAATTCTATCGTACTTTTGTAGAAGACAAGGTTACAGCGATTTGTTGTACTTTTCTTTAGCTATTCTAACATATTAGTAGCACTTAAAGGTTGTATTTGTATTTTTTGTACTAAGACAGTACTACTAAGATCTTTTAAGGTACGTTTTCGTAGTACAAGTTTTAGGGCTCAGTACTATCTACACTATATACTTATATATATTAGTATCTACTTCATTTTAAGTACTTATACTTAATAGTACTTTATCTACACTGTTATACTTACAATTGTTAATATATTTTGAGTACCGTTCTATTCTTATAGTACTATAGCTATTAGTACTAAAACTTTATTCCAGTACTATTCTGCTTTGTGTTGCTAGTACTATAAATTAGAGCTTGTGTCTACAATAAAGCTTTTTTAAAGCGCAGAAACTTGGTTTGGAGTATAAGCTGCAATTTTGTACTATTCAAGCATCGAGAACGTCGTCAATTCGTATTTTACAAAACATCTCTAAAATGATAGCAGCTACTTGGGCCAAGATCTTCTCTGGCCTTTTTCTTATCATTTATGGAGTTTTATCACTAGTATTACTTTTTATTGGTTTGAATGCTACGATTGCTTTGGTTATTGGACTTGGAACGTTATTCCTAACGTTCCTGGCTCTACTTTATGTGATTGGACTTCAGAAGAAGAACGACTGGGTTATGATTCCATTCGTGGTGGCTGAGGTAAGGGATCAGTAGAGTTATGGTGCTTTTACACTAGATCTGTAAAGAAACTGAATTCAAATTTTTTTTTCGGCTTTGCTTTTTTCAACTTTGTTTCAGTTCAGCTTGGCTTTCTTCAAATTTGCTTCAGTTCGGCCTGGCTTTTTTCAAATTTAATTCGGCTTGGCTCGGCCCTTTTTTCAGCCTAGTTATAAATAGCTCCTAAATTTTATGTTTTTAAACTTAAAATGACTTTTGAATAACTTTTAGTGAATTTAGTGATAGAAGTGATCTGATCTGCTGTTTGTTATAGTTTATTTACCAAAACAAGAATGACTGTTTATTAAATTTATATTACTCATATTAGTTTTTTATAAAAAACAAAATTTTTTAAATAGTATTTTTAAACCTGGCAAGGAGTTTTATCTGAGCCTGAAAACAGCCCCACTAGGCCCGCGATCAGGCCCGGCCAAAGCAAGTTTGAAAATGACTGGGCCAGATCGTACGGATTTGAAGGCCAAGTTTAAATGAAAAGCCTTGATAAATCTTTTTTTAAAACTTTTGCAACTTATATCATTTTAGATGATATTTCGAGTATTCTTTGGGTTTTTAATTGGTGGCATTTGGATCGTTTATCTTTTGGCATTATTCGATCTTATTCATGTTGAGAGCCCAATTGGTAAGGTTTTTCTGATTATGATAAAGGGTTTTTGATTATTTTTTAAACTAAATAAAGATTTTATCGTTTAACATAGGACTAGCAGCTTGTGAGAGCTTAAAAACTAATATTTTTGGAAATTTAAAATTTTTTAAACAAAATTTTTAACCTATACAGGGTGCGCCAAAAGTTCTGTTGCACGGTTTTTTAATCAAATATATATTTTAACAACAAATATAAGTAAAACAACAACTACCAATAGTAACATATAGTACTAGTTATAACATTTAACCGCAACATAGAGAAAACGATCGGTAAATTGAGAAAACGACCGGTAAAGTTTTGTAGCAGAACTTTTGGCGCACCTTGTAAAATGGGATTAGCAGCCTGGGAGAGGCTTAAAACTAGGATTTTTTGTAAATTTTATATTTAAAAACATTTTTAAAATGAAACGGGCTATTTTATTCACATTTCGAATCTTTAACTTATTTTTGAAAAGTTTAAAAACTAAATTTTTAAAAATTTTTAAAATTATTATAATATTTTAGAATCAGTAGGAAACCTGCAATTTCTATTTTTACTGGCATTAGGGTTGACATTACTATTCGCTGTTTGGATTCGTATTTTACTAGTGTTCTATGATGGCTACAGACAAGTGAAGAAGCATAATGATAGAAGAAGAATGGAGATGGAGCCGAGTGAAAATTATTATATGAGAATCACGACTTCCAGACCTACTAAACTTTAAAACTTTTTAGTTTAAGTTTTTTTTAAATTGGTTTTTGTAAATAAATAGTAAACTGGGAACAGCATTTTCTTTTGTTTTATACAGAAAATGGTGTTGGCTATTATTATGGTTGGTTATTATGTAGGGTACTGTTTTATATTGTCATAAATGTTATAAAATTTTAAAAGTTTTAAGTTTGATTGTTTGTCTGTAGTCGCTCCAGTTCATCTCGACGTATCCTGTTTTCTTGTACTCTTTTTGCTAATGGACAACGTGGGTAGCACCAACATGTCATGAATGTAAACGCTGAAATTTTTTAAATTAATTATTATTAAGGGCCGACATAAAGAACCCGCCGTACTTTGCCTGTAATTTGCTGGACAAAATGGCGAGATCTTTATGCCGGCACCTCATATTATCGCTGTATTGGTGCAGTAGAATTCCTGTATAACAAACCTCTCGCAACTTCAAAAGTTCTTCGTTATAAAGAGGTTCCACTGTATTTTACAAAACAAGTATTTTTAAATTAAAACTTACTAAAAATAACCACAATAAGTGATATAAAGGATGTTATAATAACTCCTGTGTGTTGTGAAAACCGACAACAACTTGGCATGTCCATCTCTTTCCAATAGTAAGAGCAACAAGTTGAGTATTCGTCTGGGTCGGTGGGTCGGGGGCAGTAACTTATAAAACCTAAAAACGCAATTTTTTAACTAAACTTTTGGTTATTTTCATTATGTTTTTTAAATAATTTTAATAGAAATGCCGTTTACTGTACAAAAAGCACTGATTTTATCACTAGTTGAACTAGATAGAACTTAAAAAAATTTTGTTGAACTTGCCAGGTCTCCACTTCCTCTGTTCTAAGCCTAAAAGTTGAAGTCGGGTCATCTAGCAGGCCCAAAAGCCCAGTCTAAATGAAGGCTCCAGGGCTCTAACTTAGGTCTTGCAACGAAATATTTGACTTGCAAGAAGGTAAAACAAATCTGATTTTAAGTTTAGAACAGAGAAACAGTAAGGTACAACCTGTCCCAGTTGTTATTTTAATAACTCTTTATAAGGGACCGGGCCAAAGCAAATTTTAAAGGAACCAAGCCAAGTCAGCACATTTGGACCTAAGAGTCGGAGCCCAAGCCAAGGTTAGACCCATAGGCCAGGCTGAAAAATAAGGCATTTCCCGGTTTTTTTACGGGGTACTTCTTCTATCTAATCTTCTCTCTCTCTTTCTTAGCTTTTTTAAGTATTATAAAATGACATTCTAGTTTAAAAAATAATTAAGAATACGTCTTACCTTCATAACTAGGGCACCAATACACTTTTCTTCCACCGACATAGTCTTCAATATGTTCACTCATCACACTATTCCAATGGATCGCGTAGTTTGCTTCAATTTTTTGCAATATAACGATTTACTGTCAGTTATTATTAAAAATAGAAAGGTTTTGTAGTAGCTATTAGTAATTTTAAATTATCCTTAAACCAACTAGTAATATCTTGCTTTTAAAAACATTAAAACCCCAAAAATTGTATAAAATATAACCTTTAGCTACCTCGCATTAAATATCATAGTTAATATCAGAAATGAAGCCAAACTGCAATGCATTTGCTTTTGCCACATAAAGTTGATTCATTTCCGAAACAAAACAAAATTTTTCGAAAATTTTTTGAGTAGCTACCGTAGCCGAGAATTCCCGAAAGAGGGGTATGTTTTGAAGGGAAAGTTTTGGCACTCATCTTCAATGTCAAGAGTAACGTCGGGATTTTAATTTTCTTCAAATTCGGAATGACAGCCGATGCCATTTCCGCCTCGTCACAGCGACGAGGTTCGATTCGGTCGTATCTATACTATTTTGTGTATGAGGGTGTTTTTTGGTGTTAGGGTTAAGGTTTTTACTGTATGTTAGTAAAATTTATAATACAGGTTTTAAGATTAAAGATTGAGTAAACAAAGTTTAAGCTCAAGCCTTAGTCATAGCTTTAGTTTCGCGCTTGATAGTCAATCTCGAAAAAATTGAGATTAAAAAAGTACGTTTTGAATTTTCCGTCAAATTGGCATTGTGCTTCAAGCTTATAACTTTGTCATTTTTTAACCTTTAAGAATTTTTTTTTGATATACTAGTAGAAAAGCTTTAAATTAACCTACCTTTTTAAAATTGTAAGTGTAGCTTGTCTGGAAAGTCGAAACAAGTGCTTGAAACACAATGCCAAAGTTGCCAGATTGGCGGTAAATCCAAAAATTTCAAATTAAAAACTCAAAAGTGCAAGCTAAAATTTTTTATGAGTACTGTTGGCGGTACAAAGAAATCATATTAAAATTTTGAGATGCTTCTGATTGTGAGTGGGGCAGGTTAAATACTTTCCCCATAAGTCTAGTCTTCTAGTCTTAGTTCTAGCTAGAGATTTAGGTCCGATCAAATGTATTTTTAAATTGGTCTGGTCTGGTCAAAACAATTTAGAACCGCGGTCTCAGTCTTTTGGACCGGGTTGATACCCACCTATACTTCTAGCCCTAGGTTTACAATTGGCTGAACCGAAAGTAGCGGGACATTTTTTATCTGTTTTTTCACTTAAAAGTGTGCCGCTACTTTTGGTCTAAACTCATAAGTATGATAGCTCTGATATTCTTAACTATTAGTTGACCAAACTTTTACTTGCTAGTTGTAAGCCAAATTCAACGTTTTTTCTGTCAATTTTATCATTTTGTTTACATAGAGGTACATATGTACGTACGGTTTTTAAATATATTCGTTATTGTTCCTCATCATCTCAAGCCTAATTACCCTTCCAGCTAATTTCACGTCCAAACCGAAGCCCTTGCCTTCGTCGTATCAACACGACGAAAGCCGTGTGAAGTGCGTGTTTTCGGTGGTGATTAATTAAATCGCCTGCGGCGCTGTTTTGTCCCTAAGGTCCGGAAATTGGATTTGCGGGTTTGCGCGACAAAACCCACAATAAACGAAGTCCATTCGAGGTAGGGGGGATGTCTCTGGAAAGGAAGGGAGGGGAAAGCCGCGTTTTCAATTATTTAATTACCGCAAAAAGACATTTCGAACGAAAAAGCCGGAGGAGAAAAACGAGGCCGGTAAACGGCTGACCCTAAGTTCTTCGATAATACGATTTTTTGAGGGGTGGGTGGGTTGGCAACTTTACTATTAGGTTTTATAGAAAGTAATGAGCTACTGAGCTTCATATTATAAAAACAATTCTAAATTGAGGTAGATTGACGTGACAACAGATTTGTTTATGTAGACTTTTTAAAATTTATTTATCAAGCAGGAGCTTTTGGCATTAGAAATGAGGATTTTATGGCATTTTAGATTATAAATAAATGTTTTTTAAGATTATTCAGCAAAAATAGTTTTTTTTTAATTTTGTAATTTAGGTAACATTTTTTGAGCTTTTTCATTAGAAATGAGGATTTTATGACAATATTTATTAGAAATATGTAGTTCTTGTCGATTTTTGATTAGAAATGATAATTTTTTGAAAATTTAAAAGTTTAGGTAACATTTTTTATTTATTTTCATTAGACTAAGGGATTTTATATTTTTCATAATAAATGAAGATTTTGTGCCATTTTTTATTAAAAATGAGGATTTTGTGCCATTTTTCATTAGAAATGAGAATTTTATGACATTTTTCATTAAAAATGAGAATTTTTTGACCTTTGTCACTAGAAATAAGGGTTTTATGAAATTTTAAACCCAAAAAAAATTTGACTTTAAAATTTTTAATTTTGAAAGAAAAGTTCTGTTCTGCCATTTATTTTCATGCATAAACCAAATATTTTTTATAAAATTTATGTCAACTAATTTTAGAAAGTTCAAAAATTATGTCGCAATGACATAAAAACTCGATTTACGTCACAAATTCGTAGTTCTGTGATCTTTACGTTTTTCAAAAAAATTTAATTTTCCATTGCGTTTGCAGTATTTTTTACTATGTAAATGTTGACTTTACTTTCGAAAATAGCACGAGCCCTTTCAAGTGGATTTCAAATAAGTAAATCTTTTAATTTGACCGAAATTGAAAACTCGAAATGCCGCCAAAATTATAGAGGCACGTGTGGTTCAACTGGCCAAGAGATGAGGATTATTATAGGATTTGGTAGGGTGGGGTAGGGTAGAACAGAGTAAGTCGAAGTAAGGCAAGGTAGGATGGAGTAAGATAGGGTAGAGTAAGGTAGGGTAGGCTAAAATAGGGTAGGGTAAGGTAGGGTAGATGTGGGGCAAGAAATGACCCATATGGGCACGACGCGGTCTTGAGCTAAAGTTGAAACGGTTTGGGCCTAAAAATTGAACCCGGTCTGCTGGTTGAGCTTGAAATAGGCCCGGATTCAAAAAAAGCCGGACCGGCCTCATAAAAAATGAAAGCGGGCTAGGTCTACCCTTTTTGACCCGGGCATGGGCCGGGCCTTAAAACTGTTTGTTGCCCGGTTTGCTTCTTAGGTTAAAAAAAGATAACTTTCTTGTGATAGAGTTTCATATACGTTTCGGGTAGTATAGGAAACGCCATTTGTTGTCTAATGTCACTTTTTGTCAGCCGAGTTTTTTTTAACTACTAAAATATGATCAGGGACAGAAAAAAAACTTTCGAGGTCGCGCATTTGCTTTTGAAACTGATCTTTTTGCATATTTTCTTACTTTTTTTATTTTACTGATGCTACATATATATCACTTTTTTGAATAACGTATTTTACAACAAGTCATGGTTATATAACTTAAGATTTCAAAAAATTTTAAAATTTTTTATATTAAAATTATTTTTTAAAATTTATAATTTCTGTTTTAATTTATCTTGCTTCTGTTTTTCTCTAGGTTCACTGGAACTTATTTTTCTAAAACGCAGTAATTAACTATATTATGTTACTGTCTTTTGATGAGATATATCCTTCTATTCATTAGAAATGTCTATATGTAAATACACGTTGGTAAACAGGAATGATATGTCTGGCAGGAAGTAACAGAAAAGACTAAGACTAGACTCATGCTCATGTTCATGCTCATGCTCATGCTCAT